GAGGCAATCGACTTAAACGTTCGGAAACACAGGCGACCAGCAGGTCTAGAACACCAGGGAACCGACAAACTACGCCTGATCTCATTTTCTCCACTCCTTCACCTCCACGCGCACCGTCGGCAGGAGGATGAGAAGGATGCAAAATACGATGCTCGATGACACGATCGAGATCTACACCAAGAGTGAGCGACTCAAACCAGATGTCACCCGACATCCACTATCCTCCCACTTCGCCACCGCCGCCGGTTCCACCAGCAACCTGCAAGGTTGCAGTGACGAGGTCGCGCTCTCCATGGACAGCGGCATAATCGGCAGGTGTGGGGGCTATGCGCACCCCTCCACCTCCGCCGCTTTCGCCTCCGACGTCCAAGGCGAAGCAACTGGCCATTCCCAGGTCGAGATCGCCATCTGGAATGCAACCAACACCTGTGGGTAAACCATCCCCGACTGCGACCACCACCACAACCTTGTCCAGCAAGCGGATCACGAACTACTATCTGGGACTTGGTTGCGGCACCTCGCCAGCATGCTCCCGTAGTGCATTTGCTGCCTGAGCACGGTGGAGCGTCAGAACAGTTCCGCGGAGGCCGCGGCGGAAAAACTTGACCAGTCGAACATCGCCCGCGACGAGCTTCTCAGCACGATCTCGGAAGCATTCACCGATTTGGCCGTGCAGGACATGGCAAGACATGCCATTGATATCATCAAGGCGATGAAGCAGGAGCTGACGAACCTCCATGATGTGGGTTTGTTTCGCAGGCTCGGGCGGAGGTTGGCGAAGAATGTCGTGGGCACCAGGTTGGTCTTGACGTAGCAGTACAAAGACAATAACCACTTCATCACGGCTCGACTCACGATGCGTTGGGTCAAAGGTCAAAGACCACGACGACAGCTTGGCGGCCGTCCTCGACGGTACGGCAACTCGGCGATGGGGCCAGCGCGTCGCGAACGCCATTACAGCGCAGCGGGGCGACTGGGTACTCTTCAGTTTCGACGTCAGCGCTGCTTTCGCAAAAGGCCTGACCCTACCAGAGCTGTCTGAGGTGACAGGTGAACCCATCCGCGTAGTGCAGTTCGAACTGCATCCCGGTCATGTTCAGCTGCTGAGAGACATCCCCGGCCACGAGGACTTCGATCCCAGTACAGAAGTAGTCCAAATGGTCAAGGCGTTTTTACCTAACAGCGAAGACTGATAGGTTTCTAGTGATTTCAAAAAGAGAGCATCATGACTCCCCAGGGGGGTCTGGGCAGATGCCGGACGGAATCCCGGGAGTTTTTTGTTAACAAGCAATAACGCACTTCGTGGTCTTCGAGTTCCCAGAATTCCATTCCTGGGCATGATTGTGAATGCCCAGAGCCAAGTGGAGGCCGCTTCGTGTTCTTCGAGTTCGCAGAACTCCACTCCTGGGTATGAGTTTGAATGCCCGGAGCCAACTGTAGGCCACTTCGTGGTCTTCGAGTTCCCAGAACTCCATTCCTGGGCATGATTTTGAAAGCCCGGAGCCAACTGTAGGCCACTTCGTGGTCTTCGAGTTCCCAGAACTCCATTCCTGGGCATGATTTTGAAAGCCCGGAGCCAACTGTAGGCCACTTCGTGTTCTTGGAGTTCCCAGAAGTTTATTCCCGGGCCACATTTTGAATGCTGAGGCAGGCTGATGCTCAGGCTGAGGCAGGCTGAGGATGAGGCAGGCTGAGGCTGAGGTGAGGATGAGGCTGAAGGCAGACTGAGGCTGAGGCCGAAGCAGGCTGAGGCTGGGGCTCAGGCAGGCTGAGGCTGAGGTTGAGGCAGGCTGATGCTGAGGCAGGCTGGGGCTGAGGCTGATGCAGGCTGAGGCTGAGGCTCAGGCAGGCGGAGGCGGAGGCCGAGGCTGAAGGCAGGCTGAGGCTGAGGCTGAAGCTGCAGCAGACTGATGCCGAGGCAGAGGCAGGCTGATGCTGAGGATGAGGCTGAGGCAGGCTGATGCTGGGGCAGGCTGGGGCTGAGGTTGAGGCTGATGCAGGCTGAGGCTGAGGCAGGCAGAGGCAGAGGCCGAGGCTGAAGGCAGGTTGAGGCTGAGGCTGAAGCAGGCTGAGGCTGAGGCTGAGGCAGGCTGAGGCTCAGGCGGAGCCTGAGGCCAAGGCTGAATGCAGACTGATGCTGAGGCAGAAGCAGGCTGAGGCTGAGGTTAGGCAGGCTGAGGCTGAGGCTGAGGCAGGCTGATGCTGAGGCAGGCTGAGGCTGAGGCTGAGGCTGATGCAGGCTGAGACTGAGGCAGGCTGAGGCTGAGGCCGAGGCTGAAGGCAGACTGAGGCTGAGGCTGAAGCAGGCTGACGCTGATGCTGCTGAGGCTGAGGCTGGCTGAGGCAGGCTGAGGCTGAGGCAGGCTGAGGCTGAGGCTGAGGCTGAGGCTGAGGCTGAGGCTGAGGCTGAGGCTGAGGCTGAGGCAGGCTGAGGCCGAGGCCGCAGGCAGGCTGAGGCTGAGGCTGAAGCAGGCTGAGGCTGAGGCTGAGGCAGGTTGAGGCTGAGACTGAGGCTGCGGCAGGCTGATGCTGAGGCAGGCTGAGGCTGAGGCTGAGGTTGATGCAGGCTGAGGCTGAGGCAGGCTGAGGCTGAGGCTGAGGCCGACGGCAGACTGAGGCTGAGGCTGAAGCAGGCTGAGGCTGAGGCAGACGCAGGCTGAGGCTGAGGCTGAGGCAGGCTGATGTTGAGGCAGGCTGAGGCTGAGGCTGAGGCTGATGCAGGCCGAGGCTGAGGCAGGCTGAGGCAGAGGCCGAGGCTGAAGGCAGACTGATGCTGAGGCTGAAGCAGGCTGAGGCTGAGGCTGAGGCAGGCTGAGGCTGAGGCAGGCTGAGGCTGAGGCTGAGGCAGGCTGAGGCTGAGGCTGTGACTCCGACTGCCGTTGCCACTGCGACTGTCGTCGCGAATGCGACTACGATTGCGAGAACAGCAGAAGTCTACAGCTGGATTCTTATCTGAATCTCAAGGGGAACGCTTCCAGGTATGCTCCTACACATCGCTGTTAGGTTGCTTTGCCAGGATAATATGGCTCGAAGGATGCACCGCGGGCATGGCGGAAGAAACTGCATTTGATCTTTGAGGCGTTTTGCTTAACAGCCTTGTACGCGGATCCACAGCCGTACGTGCTCCACCATACGCGTGACCAGTTGAACGTGATCCTCAGTGCACATTTTGACGTCTCGATGGGTGGAGTTCCGAAGACGGTCGATTTGGAGTTCTTCAGGAAATGGGAGACTCACATGGGCACTTGCACACAGGAGTGGTCCGACTTCACGCACGTCGGCATCGAACACGTGACGAGAGCAAACGGCATCTACACGCACCAGGAGAAGGACGTGGCATCTTTCAGGAACATCGACAATAAGTTTTACGCTGAGTTGCGAGACGAGCAAAAAATCAGCGAGGAGGCGAAAAGTCACTATTACTCTCCTGGGCGGCGTCGCCGAGCTCTGCCTCGCAATGCCCGCCATAGATAGGTGTTCACGTACGAGCACGTCAGCGACACGGAGCCGGCCCAAGAGCACAGGACCTGAAGCGTTTCAGTTTTGTCTTTCGCTGGATCCGCCAGCACAAGGCCGGCATCTTGTTCAGGAGACTGCCAGGGCGCCTAAGGCTGGTTGGAGTGACAGGCGCAGCTTTCAAAGCGATTCCGGAAGAGTCGTCTGGACTTGCGCTCCGCAGTTGCGTCATTCTCCTCAGCACGGACTGTGCCTCGACGACAGCATGTCCAGATGGAACTTGCAACGTCTTGGAGTTCCAGTGCAAACTCCAGCGCCGTGCATTTCGTTCGACATTCAGTGGCGAGCTGACCGGTTTGGTAGACACTTCGGAGATCTTTCTGGTCATCCAGGCTTGCCTCCACCAGATCTACCACGTCTGCAAGGCCGCAGCCAAAAGCTCGACGGACGACCTGGACAGTGGACGGCTCCAACCCCCAGTCTACGCAGCAATCGATGCCAGGAACGCGTTCGATTGCTTAGCTGCCACAGTCGCTGAAACTGCACGTTCTGTCTCTGGTACAACGCGTGCAATGTAGCACAGTGCGACGTCTTTTCTGGACGGACACGAGGGATATGCTGGCAAACGGCCTTAACAAGGGATCCGTCCCTCGTGACCAGTCGATCTCTGTCAGCAGAACATGCAAATACCGCGCGACACACGTCACGGCCAACGCGGTCTTTGTGAACGGCCGCAAGCAGATTGCAAATCACAACTTTTGTGAACGGTCAAGACGCCGCAGTAGACAGCCGTGGGCATAGCGCATGCGGCGAAGACCACACCAGCGGCAGCTTGACTGGCAACGGCTACTGAGCTAAAGGCACAAAAATGTGTCTGCGGGCGCACCTCCGGAGCCAAAGGCATAGAAATGTGTCTGCGGTTGCAACCTCTGAGCAACGGCATTGGGAAGTGCCGCGCTTTCTTCTGAAGGTGAGCGTGGGTGGCCACAATAACCATCCACAAAAGCAAGTCTATAAACACGCCGGCGGTGCTTTTGAGCGCCAAGTTGCATATGCGTGCGTTTTCGTACCTGATTGTTGCATCCTGTGGCTTCGTTTTCGGACAGGACGCTTTTTCAGTATACGCATCCCTCCGGAAATGTTGGCAATAATACATGATACGCACTTGCATTGACCAAGCCGGGTGATGCATGGGCGAGCTCACGAATTCGCTACGACCTGTGCCTCCCGGGCACAACTTGCGAAGATTTCTTCTTTTATGAGACAGCCGGAACTGATCCACAGCGACAGCCCAGGAGGAGAGTTGAATGGGGGCAGTTGATTCGCATTTCTTTTTTTCTGTGTGCGTTCCGTCGCCTATGGGCTCAGACGGGCCAGTCAAAACGACCGCAAAGCAAACAGCAAAGCCTATTGCCAAAAACCTTTCCTGTTTACCTTACATTCCATGTACTCTACATCTTGATATTCGCGCCCTCTGGCGGTCGAGGTCTCCTCCTCCCTCCTGTTCCCTCCTCCTCCTCCTCCTCCTCCTCCTCCTCCTTCGCCTCCTCGTCCTCCTCCCGTCGCTCCTCCGCCCCTCCCCGTCGCTGTGAGGCCCCGCCCGCCGCGGCGGGCCAGGCAACTCCGCGTCGGTCCGCGCCGCGGGGCTCCGGCGCGCCCGCCCCGCCCGCGCGGCTCAGGGCGCGGCCGCTGGTGGCCGCCGCGGAGGGGGGCCCTCTGAGAAAGGCGCGCTCGGGGGGCGACGATGAGGGGGCCTCGATGCGCCTGCGCTGAAACGCCACACGCACCGTAGTCAAAGCGTCCACGTCGATATTTCGCGTGTTGGCTCAGCGCGTTGGCCCACGTGTCGGCGAACGCGTCGCGCCATGCCCGCGTTTTCAGTCTACGTGTTGAGCTCCGTATGAGCACGGTACGTGTTGCTGCGTATCGGGGGGGGGCAACGATAGGGGGCGATGTCGGCCACGCTCAGAAGGGGGGTACGGGGAGGGGGGAAGGCTTCTTAGAAGCACCCGTGCTTCCTCGACGGTGCTGGCCCGACATCTATCGATGTAGGGTCGGCGCCTTCTAGCCGCGGTGCCGTGCTGCTGTCGCTCCATCTTTTCGGATTATGCTGCGCCTCTGCTGATCCATGGTCGCCACCATCATCAGCATCATTATCGTCATTCGCATTACCATCATCCTAACCGAACCCCCTCACACCGAACATCGCACCATCACCATACGCATCGTCAGCAGCATTGCCACCACCTGCTGGATCGTCATCCTCACACATCGCACCCAGTGCAAGCACAATCATCCTCACAACCACCATCGCCATCGCCACCACCATCCACATCGTCATCGCAACCTCCTCCTCGTCCTCACCATCCCTGCCCCCCCCGCACAGGTCAAGCAGGAGGTCGCCGCGGTGCCGGTGCCCGAGGTGGGCCGGCGGGGCCCGGGTGCCGCGGGGAGTGGCCGGGCCACGGGCGGCCCCCGGGTTGGGCCCGCCCCAGGCACGGCCGGCCAGGGGCCGTCCGTCTCACCCCATTCGGCGGCGAGCGGGGGGGGGGTCGGCTTCGACGACATCGGCGATGCATCGGCGACGCCGGCCTGGAGGACATTGGGCTCCACATCGAGCCGCATCGCCGATGCATCGACAATGCAGCGCGATCCTCCGACCCCATCTGTGCTCGAAGCCCATCGAGGAGGACTGGAAGTGGCGGGGGGGAAATGAGGAGAAGGCCTTCTCGGAAGGCGGCGGGACTTTCAAAAGCCCTCGCGCCTTCTGAGCAGTTTTCTGTGTTTTCGGGGAGGGCCCGGGGACTTTTGAGCCTTCCGAGAAGGTCCAGCCCTGCTCATTTCCCCCCTCGCTCGCCGTCAGCCCATCCCCCAGCGCACTGCCCCACACGCAGCCCTGGCGAAAAAGGAGAGCCCAGACATCTCGTGCCCGAGAGTTGTTGGACCCCCGTGCCCGGTCATCACCGGGCAGCCCCAGCTGCCCGAAGGTCCTGGCGGGCAAGCCGGCCGCCAATATTGGCGTCCTTAGCTGCCTCGATACGCCCAGTTTGAAACGCAATACGTGCCGTGAAACGTCCGTGTCAATACGTTCCGTGTCGGCTCCACGTATTGGCCCATGTTTTGGCGAACGCATCGCGTCGGACCTACGTTTTCAGTCTACGTGTTGCGTTCCGTGTCAGTACGCTGCGTGCTGCGTGTTGCGTATAGGGGCAGCTAAGTTAGCGTCCATCGAAAGAGGAAGGAGGACCCATACAGGTACCCGTCGCCCGTTTTCCGCTTTTTCGGCCTCCTGGGATGCCCTCGTCGCCACCGCTGGATTCGCTTCGAAATTCTGGTCAGAACGCATCCTGGGAGAGGTCCAGGGGAGTGGCGGTATCGATACCTGTTTGTTTCCCTTATTTTGGCAACTCCACCTTGGGCATCGGAATTCATTCAGATTTTTATGTCGGTTCCATTCTTCGGTCGCACCACGCTTTCTGTCACAGCTTCTGGCTCGTTTCGGTCACAACTTCGGCCGCGCTGTGTTCTCGGTCAGAACTTCGGGTTTGTTTTTGGGTGCCATACGACTCGGGACACGACTTGGGGCCTGCTTGAACAGATTTTCGGTCACTTGCTGCGCCGATGCATTGGGGCGCCCGTCTCGCTGATCTTTCCCTGGCACTTCGCCCCCCAAGGACCTCTTCTTGTTGTTGCTCTTCCGCCTGTCCCGAGATGGCTTTCGGCAGTCGAGTCTTCCGTCAAAGACTGGCACCCGATCCCACATCAGGCTTGTGGCTTCGTGGCCAACCGACGCAGCCGCGGTGTGCGGCGATAGTATACACATTGTTCAGTTCTAAGTCTTTGGGATTTTTTTTGTTGATTTTTGGGGGGCTAAGATCCTTTTTTGTCTAATTGTTCTATCCTGGGCCTCTTCCTGGCCACTAGGGGGCCAGGAACAGTTAGCAACGAGCACAATTAGAAATGAGCACGATTAGAAATGAACGACGTGCAGGCCGCGCGCACGCGGTGTGCTTCTGCGCCGAGCAGCGCGACGAGTTTCCGGCGGGAAGCTGCTGGCCCCTGACGGTGGCGCGCCTCTCGGGCATCACACCACCCCGACAGGGCCGGGGATGCGCACCCGTCGTGGCGTATCGGTTGGGCCCCTCACCCCGTGAATGAGTGGCTCATTTCTCATTCTTCGAGAGTTCTTTGATTTTTTTGGGGCCGAAATCCTCTCATTTCTGATTATTCTGTCCTGGGCCTCTTCCTGGCCACTAGGGGGTCAGGAACAATTATAAGCGAGCACAATTAGAAATCAGCACGATTAGAAATGAACGACGTGTAAACGTTGAGTTCCCAAGTCTTTTTTTGTTCTTGGCTCATCTCAGTATTCGGTTTATTGTTCTCAGATGCTCCCTGGCAGATCTATGCATCCGCATCGTCCCCCTCCTCATCCTTGCTACCTGTCTCTGCCTCAGTATCACGATCGATTCGACCTCCCTCGCCTGTCATCCACCTCATTGTCACTGTCATCCTGAATCATTATGCGTAAGGGCTTCGCCCCATGCCGCCGGCCCCCGGTCTCGGACAATGGGAGATGCAAAAGCTAAATCATGAGGTCTGGGCGCCGCCGTGAAGCAGTGTCGGGACCTGTTTGTTTTTCGACCCTGACCCTACGGATATGCGTGAGGGGTACCGCCGAATTTCAGAAATGTGGCAAATCCCCTGTGTTTTTGGACCGTGACCCTACGGATCTGCGTGAGGGGTGTAAATTTGTACCCCCCCAGCAATTCAGACAACACACTCAGGGCGCGGTAAAAATGCTTGTTTTGGGCCTCCCCCCCTCGCGCGGTCCATCAACAAGGAACAGTAAGCAGCAAGAAGTCAACAAGGAACAGTAAGCAGCAAGAAGCAGAACTGTAACAGTGGAAACTGGAAGCTGCAACTGGTACAGGAAACTGCGAAGCTTCGTCCTACAGCCTGGTGGCCCCACAAGGGGGCTGGCGGATCTTTTTATCCCTCGCAGCGGCAGGCCTCCACGAACATGGGCTGCTGTGGTTTTGATTATCTCGCGACTCGTATCTTGTCTCAGCCGGAGACTGGATGGGCACTGTTTCAGCTTCGCGCATAAGGTAACAATCAGGGAACATCACTGTTCGGACGGCTGATCCGAACTCGGACGGCTGATCCGAACATCTTGGTGTGACCATTCCCGAGAGCGGTGCGATCGCTGCCCAGAGCCGTCGGTCTCCCGACCCGCCTGCGACCCGCGGCCCTCCACGTCCTTTCAAGATATGGTCCCGTGCTGTTTCCCTCGGGTGCCTTGGTATTTGTTTTTTTTGCTGCCTTCTTCGGGTTCCTTGGTCTTGGTTCTATGCTGCCTGCCTCGGGGCGCCAAGCAATGCCAAGCAACGATAAGCCTCGCCAAGCAACGCCAAGAAATGCAATGCAAAGCAATGCCAGGCAATGACACCTAGGAAGCGTTTCCGAATTGGGGTCGCGCCGGGTTAGCTCCCCCCCTTCCCTGGCGAGTCTTGCCTGATCCAGGGGCAACGATAGGGGGGATAGGCATAGGGGGGGATGCATCGACCCCAAATCGCCCATTGATCGCCGATATGGGCCCGATACCGATAGCCCCAACCTGCCCATGAACGTGCGTATTCACCACCCGGGGCATATCGCCGATCTATCGGCGATGTATCGCCGATTCCAGGTCGATGCATCCCCCCCTATGCCCATCCCCCTCTTTCGTGGCCCCTCACCGATCCACGCCGAGCGTGAGTAGCCATTGGCTCGAGCCGCCCGTCGCTGCCCCCGCACGTCGGGCCCCGGGGCCATGCCAGGCAGATGCCCGGGCCAGGCTTCGACTCGGCCCGCGGAGCTGCCAGGAGCTCGCGTCGGTTGCAGCGACGGCCCACGCAGCGGCCATCGGAACGACGCGCCGGCAGCCCGGAGGGCAGCTCCTCCTCCGAAGAAGACAGCGAGCAGCCTCCGAGGGCAGCCACGGCAGGAGTGGAGCTGCCCTCGGGGGGCAGAAGGGACACCTGGATCCAGCGCCGCTTGAAGGAGGCGCTCCTCCGAGATGCGAGCGGCCTGTCGACGGAGGAGGAGCAGGAGCTGCAGCGCAGCTTCAAGAGCCACTTCGACCTCCTCTACCACATCGCTGAGAAGGGCGAGCGGAGCGATCGCAACGACGTGGACGTGCGGAAGAGGATGGCCGGGCGATACGGCAACATCATGATCGTCTCGGCCCTGATCTTCACGGTGGCCGCGGAGGGGTTGTTGGAGCCCTCCGACCAGATCCTGAAAGCTCCTCTGTTCCAGAGGGAGGTATACGGTATCTTCATGGGGCTGGCCTTCGCCTTCACCCTGGCCGGGGTGCTCTGCGCCGCCGTCATGCTCGGAACGATCGCCATCATGCCCCAGGCCCTGTCCAGGTGGTATTTCCAGCACACCGCGATCCTCCAGAAGGCGCCGATCATGTGCGTCATGGTGGGCTGCGTATTCCTCTGGGTCGCCGTGTCCGCGCTGACCTGGATCAACTTCGGGTGGCTCGCTGGCTCCGTGCTGTGGAGCGTCATGGTGATCCTCGGCTTCCCGCTCCTCCTGAACTACCTATTCGTTATGAGGGGGATGCATCGCAGGATCCGCGAGGAGGAGAGCATCGTTCCGCCGAGCTTTTGAAGGCTGACTGCGGCGGACTGCATGCCCGCTCTGCGATCCTCCCCCCCTCCATCTGTCAGGGCAGGGGCAACGTTAGTGGGAATAGGCTCAGGGTGGATGCCCGATAGTCTACCCTACCCAGGACCTTTAGGTTTCGATCTCGGGTGGCTTTCGCCGATCGATCGGCTATGTAGCGCCGAATCGCCAAAACCAGATCAGTGCTTTTTCCCATGGCGGGTCCCCTCCTGAAGCTTCCCGCCCTCTCTGCGCAGAGCTGCGCAGAACGGCGCCGGTCCCTCTTCCTTTGTCCTTCTTGTCTGGCCGCTCCACGTCGGACTGCTTCTCTTCCGAGCGCCCCCGTTTTCTCCTGATCGACCTTCTATTATACTCCCTTCACCTTCCCCGCCCCCCCTACATCTCACCCCTTCGGCAGCTCCATCTACAGTGGTTCTATGCGGTCACATGTGCCTCTCTCCCCCGACAACGTGTGCAGCCGTTTACGCGCGCATGAGCTTGTCTTGCGCACATGTTTTTGAATCGGAGCGTCTTCGGCAATTCAAGCTGGCATTCCCGCTGCAGCCCTGGCCACATTTCTGACTCCCTCGACGCTCTCGCTTCATCGCGGGCCGCAGTCTTCTTTGAAGTGATTCGAACATTGGACCGCCCGCGGTCAGCTGAATCGCATTCCCGTTGCAGCCCTGGCCACTTCCCGGCCACCCCCCCGCAGGCTTCCGTCCGACGGGGCGGTGCTCTCGCCCCAGCGCGGGCCATCTTCTTAGATCCGATCAGTACCTGACTTCGTATGAGCCCCCCCTCCCTGCTGCTGCCCCCCCTCTCAGTCTACAACGGCTCATTGGACAGGCAGCAGTGGCCGAGGCCCTGTGACTGCCATGTGGGGATCAAGGTATTCGAGGACACCCCAGTCGGTGGATCGAAGGGGATACGCGGCAATCGTAAGGGATGGGTGGGATGGATATGATGTCAGATGTGGCGCGAGCGCGCTTAGCTTGCACCCCTCCCGTCCCCTCCATCATGCCCTCTGCTCCGCTTCCTTCTGCTCCCTTCTCCCTCGCCCTCTCCTCCTCTGATCCCCCCTGCTCTCCTCTTCCCTTGTCACACACGCCCCCTCCTGCTCCCTGTTCCCTGTTCCCTTCCCACCTCCCTCCTCTTCTCTTTACCTCCCTCCTTTCCTCCTCTCCTCCACCCTCGTCCCTACTCCCTCCTTCCCCTTCGTAGTTCCCAGTTCCCCTTCTTTTCCATCCTTTCCCAACGGCGGCTATGACTATCACAACACCGACAACGGCGGCGACGACCACAACAACGACGTTCGCGACGTCGACGCCACCGCCAAGGATGCTGACAACGACGTGCACGACGACTGCGACGCCCACGACAACGACGACCTCTACTGCGAGGATGACGACGTCCGCGACGACGACGGTGGCGACGCACATAATCTCCCACGACGGTGGCGTCTGCGGCGACGACGTCGAGGACGGCAACGATGCCGACGACGCCAGCACGGCGAGGACGCGCACGACGGAGCCCACGACGATGGTGCCCACAACGACGACCATGACGACGACGACGCCGACGACGACGACGACGACGACGACGACGACGACGACGACGACGACGACGACGACGACGGGGCGCCGACGCCGCCGGTGGCTTCGAGGGGTTGGCCGCAGGCGGCTCCGCCGGCCCCGCCGCCAGCAGGCCCCGCGTCGCGAGCCGCTGGGCAGCCCGCCAGTCGCCGCCGCCGTCGCCGCCGCCCGCGTCGTCGTCGTCGTCGTCGTCGTCGTCGTCGTCGTCGTCGTCGTCGTCGTGGGCGCCTTCGTCGTGGGCTCCGTCGCGGGCATCGTCGCCGTGCTGGCGTCGTCGGCGTTGCTGCCACCGCCGCGTCGTGGACCGCGTCGTCGCCGCCGGCGACAAGTTGCGGGCGGTATCGTCACCTCGCCCTGGGGGAAGCTCGAAGAAGAAAAGACGCCATGAACAGAAACTTTGGCGATCCGCGCGGATTTCTTGGGTCCGCGCCTGGGCCCCCTTGGTGGCGTCTCCGGCGTCAACCCTGGCGCGCTCCGCGCGCCAGGGAGCGGGGTCCAGCGCGAATCCAAGAAATCCGCACTGAGCGCCAAAAGTTCATGTTTATGCGGTTGTTTATTATTCTGTGTTTTCCCCTGGTACGCTGTGGACGTCGTAGTAATGTCTAGCGCAGATCCAGGAAATTCGCTCGGAGCGTTGTGCTGTTTTTTCTTCTCCCAGCAGCGGGCCCTGGGGTTTCTCGCCGTCTGCGGGCTCTCGGGGCCCTCCACGGGCCCTGGGACTGTCAGAAAACGGCTCAGGATGAAGACGTCGTCCTGAGGGAAGGCGCCAGGGTCCAGGACCCGTATCCTTTAGGACCCATTTCCCCAATGCGAACTTGGCCGCCGTCTTTGCTGTCGTCGTCGTCGTCGTCATCGATGTCGTGTTTGTCGTCGTCGTCGTCCTCGTCGTCATCGTCGTCGTCGTCGTCATCATGGTCGTCGTCGTCGTCATCATCATGGTCGTGGTCGTCATCGTCTTCGTCGCTGTCGTCGCCGTAGTCGTCGCCGTCGTCGTCGTCGTCATCTTGGTCGTCGCCGCCGCCGTCGTCGAAGATCGAAGTGCTATGGCATCGGGATCGCCGAGGATCGAGGAGAGGACTTCACGAGGCCTCCGGGGACCTCCTCAGGCCAGGGGGGACTCCTCAGGAGGAAAAAAGTCACACACAGACGCAAATAATCACCGATTCCAAGGAGAATGTGAGAAAGTATGGGAAGTGGGGGGGGAAGACGAACACCAAGGAAATATGGGAGCAGATGGGGAATCCTGAGATTTGTGTCTATCTGTTTGTGCTTCCCTGGGCCCCTCTAACTCCGAGGTTCAGGGTGTCTGGGCGCCTTCGTCGTGGCCTCTGTGTCTCGGCCCCCTCGCCTCCCGCGGCGGCGTTCCGCCTGGAGGCTCTGGGCAGAACGCGCCTCGGGAGATGTGGGGAGGTTGAGTTTGAGGGGTCGACGTCGTCAGAGGGGGAGAGGGGGGACCCCCAAACGGTGTGGTGGCCACACCGTGTGGGGAGTCGGTGGGGATTCGGGGTCACCGCACGGTTCGGGGACTCGTGTCCTTCTCCGAGGATGTCTTGGGCGACAGGGGCCTCCCGGGTCCCAGGACCGTGAGGTGACGGACCGTGCGGTGAGGCCTCTCGGGGTTCCGAGGTCACCGCACGGTCTGTCACCACACGGTTTCGGGCCGCCCAAGGAGAGGGGATGAGCGTGAGTCGAAGATGAAAAGACGCCATCAGCATAAACTGGTGGTGCTTTCCGCGAATTTCTCGGATCCGCACTGGGCCAGCCTGGCGCGCTCCGCGCGCTGGGGAGGGTGGCCTGGCTCAGATCCAAGAAATCTGCGCGGACCGTCGAAAGTTTATGTTTATGCCGCTTCTTCTTCCTCTAGCGAGGGTGGACAGTGCAGGAGGTATGGGGAGGGTTTGGATGTCCTGTCCCCCAACCATCCTGTGGTGTTGGGTCCTCGCTTGCAAGAGACAGCGCCCCGCGTCACTTCTTCATCCGTCCTCCTCCCGCTCCTCCCTCATCCCATTTCTACCTGTGCCCTCCGCATGTCCTCCTTGTTGTCATCATCACCGTCACCAGCAGCATCACCATCATCACCATCATCAGCATCATCAGCATCATCATTGTCGTCATCATCATCAACATCAGCATTATCATCATCATCACCACCATCATCATCATCATCATCATCATCATCATCAGTATCGTCATCGTCATCGTCATCATCATTATCATCATCATTATCATCATCATCATCATCATCATCATCATCATCATCACCGTCTCTCGCAACCGTTGACGCGTCACCCAAACGCCCCCGCGCCCACCACCACCCCTCGGGCGCGACGGCTACACGGAGACGGTCCCGTTCCTGAGGGTGGGAAGGAGGGGGGTGGCACTGCACCCATACTCCACCTGAAGCCCTCGATTAGGTTGGGCCTGTCTCCCCACAGGCAGATTTTGGACGACAAATGAAACAGATTCCAAAAATGCCCCAAAAACAACTATTCAAAACATCGTCCCTATATTTTTCTTTATTTTTGAATATTCCTCCTGTAGAGGGACAGGCACGACTTAAGCCTTCGAGGAAAGGGGGGCGGGGCCTCTCGGCAGGTAACGATGTACAGACCGTAGACAGCGTACACTGCTCGTAATTTTGCAAGTGGAATACTTTTCGAAGAAGCAAAAACGCCGTAAATATAAACTGTTGGCGCTCCGCGCGCTTGGATCCGCGCCTGGGCCCCCCTGGCGGCGCCTCCGGCCTGGTCCCCCCCCGGCGGCGCCTCCGGCGCCTTCCCTGGCGCGCTCCGAGCGGGGTCCAGCGCGAATCCAAGAACTCCGCACGGAGCGCCAAAAGTTAATGCTTATGCGGTTCTTTATTTTTCTATGGTTTCCCTGATGCGCTGTGGACGTCGTAGTAACGTCTGGAACATACAGTGCTGCACATGATTTGGATGCTTATGTTTCAGCGCTGGTGCAATAGACGTAGTATCTGATGTAAGGATTTACTCCTAGACCGTGGTCCGTAACAATATCATGCTGGATCTCCACGGGCAGCCCTTGACTCAGATGTCGGTTCTCGAGGGTGCTTCGGACGTCGTCGTCGATGGTTCGTGCACTCGCTCGCCGATTCGTGATATGTCAAGGGCTGCCTATGCGGGAGTTTGTCTTGCCCCAGGCTCTGAGGAGGTCGTGGCACGTTTCCGTGGGCCAGTTTGGCCCAGCTTACCGCAGACTCCCTAAGCAGGAGAACAGATGGCTATCAGTGCTCATGTCTTCCTCGTACGTAGTGACATGAATGTGCACTCTGACTGCCTCGGCGTTGTGCATTTCCACAACCAGACCCCCTCACAGCAGCTCCGCGGCAAAACGAAGTATGTTGGCCTGAGGAGGGGCTTTTTTGCAATGCGAAGGTGCTCGCCATGTTGGCATGGCAAGGCACGCCAAGGCGCATTGCAGTGCTGAGGTGATCGAAGCGTTGCCTGATGCCGAGCGTAGGAGCGCAAACGGGAACTTCTTTGCTGATAAGTGTGCTAAGGAGGCCCTTTCTATGTAGCCGCAGGGGGGTCCCGATGTGTTGGCCGATGTTGCACCTTGAGTTGCCAAGGTCCGCGCGGTGGCCCGCATGATAGGGGAGCTTGCCCCAGTTTCCTTGTGCCCAGTGTCCCGAACAAAAATAGAGGGTCCAGATGCCTCGGCATATGAGTGCTGAGCGCTGGCACGCTTGGACCGCTGTACCTTGCGCGCCTGGCACCTTCATGTGTCATGCTTGCCACAAGCGTGTGTGCCACACGTC